TTGGTGAACTCACCCAGGCCATCACCATCGGGATGCTGATAGCTTTTTCCACATTTACTTCTCTGCCCAGACCTCGCCCTTGGACTCCAGACTTGCGTAACTTACTGCCCACTCGGCACCTCAACCTGGATTTTTAACGGGCATCTCAAAATTAACATGCCCCAATCTGCCCACCCACCCAGCCACCTGCTCCTCCCACAGCTGCCCTTATCTCAGATGATGGCAGTTCCATCCTTCCGGGTGCTCTGGCCAAGATCATGGCATCATCCAAACTCCTGCCTTTTATGCCACATCTGCTGTAACGGCAAATCCTGTGGGCTCACCCTTCACAGACCTATACCGAACCCAGCCGTTTCTCTCCACCCCACTCCCGATGCCCTTGTCCACGTACCGCCAGCACCCCCGGGTTGTCACAGCCGCCCCCTCTCTGGCACCACTGCTCCCTCAAGTTTCATCCAGCAGCTGGGAGGATCTGATATAAACATCATCTGAGCAGGCCTGGTCCATCTTAGAAAGGTCTCTTGTCCCTTCTGCCCACCATCCTATTTATTTTGTGATTTTCCCAGCCAGGCTTCCAGACTCAGCAGACTACGCTTACTGCCCCCATTTCTTCCTTAATTCTTTTTTTTTTTTTTAATTTATTTTTATTTTTGGCCGTGTTGGGTCTTCATTGCTACGCATGGGCTTTCTCTAGTTGCCGTGTACTCTTTGTCGTGGTGTGCAGGCTTCTCATTGCAGTGGCTTCTCTTGTTGTGGAGCACAGGCTCTAGGCACGTGGGCTTCAGCAGTTATGGCACATGGGCTTCAGCAGTTGTGGCTTGTGGGCTCTAGAGTGCACGCTCAGTAGTTGTGGCTCACGGGCGTAGTTGCTCCACAGCATGTGGGATCTTCCTGGTCCAGGGCTCGAACCCGTGTCCCCTGCGTTGGCAGGTGGATTCTTAACCACTGCGCCACCAGGGAAGCCCTCTTCCTTAATTCTCTGCAAGCTGACTTTTTTCCCAACCTCTAATTCAGAGGTCACCATTACCTCCTCACCAAACCAAGGCTCTTTCCTGAGTCCTCATTGTTAGGGACCTTTCTAAGGGTCTCAACCAGTGACCATCCTGCTTCCCAGAGCATCCCCTGCCACACCTGGGCTTCGCTAATCTCAGGCCACTTCTTTCTAGTCTTTTCTTCCTGCCCCTCCCACACTCAGACTGGCCTTCACCCCCCCCCCAACCCCCTTTCAGAGAGCTCTTCCCCTCACAGCCTCCACTCTTCATTTCTGGCCTTTCCTACTGGCTGACCCTCATCATTAAACTCAGCACAAGACAGACCAGGCCCACTTCCCCACCCCCAGTTCCTGTCTCTGGTCACACTGGCTTCCTCCCTCATTCTCCTGTCTCTGTCGATGGGACCACCACCACCCCATTCTCTCAACGCTGGGCTGCTTTCTGACTTCTCGCTGTCCTTTTGCCTCTCATGCAATAGGCACCAAGTACAGCCTTTCGTGTATCTCTCCCCTGTTTCTCTCTCTGCTTTGATAACGTGCTGGGCTCCCTGGCTCCCCAAGTCCTGGCTGACTCCCTGGGCCACAGCCCCGTTGCGTTTCCTGCCGTTGTCTACTCCAGGGGTGACGGAGCTGGCTTTTCCTTCCCGCCTCACCTCCTCCCCCTCCAGTCATAGACCTTCAAGAGCTCTGCATCTCAGGAGTGGGATGTGCCCAAGCTTTCGCCACTCACGTGGGCCCACTGGTCTTCCCAGGTTCCACTCGTGGTTTAGGTATCAGAGCTGACCTTGTTCTCGAATGTCTCAAGATCTGATACTTTCTCCATCTGCTAAACGTGCCAGTGCCCGAGTGACCCTCAGCCTATCAAGGCAGTGTGTATGTAAGGATGGGGCTTCCTCTGCTGCCCCTGTGGACCATCCCACTCCAAACCATGACCTGAAAACACAGCAGGTGCCAATTCTCAGAGGTAGGGGAACAGCCATTATTGGTGTCTAAGATGCATGTTATAGCATTGCTGAAATCAGGGCATTGCTAACGATTTAATTACGTGGTTTAATTGGCACCATTTTTTCTTTCTCAGTGGTACATAAAATAGTGGTTCATCTTACAGTTGATTGTGTCTTAGATATCATAAGCTGTAAAGCTCAAGTACTGGTCTGGACTATAGGAAATTTTCTAAAATATGTTCAGCATGCCACTGTGCAGAGCTGTAAATTATGTGATACTAGGAAAGGCAGAAAAGGAGAGAGAAAATTTTAAAAGACTTGGTCCCCTTCCTAAGATCTTATGACATAATTTGTGAAACAGGGCTAAGAGAAATCTAAAAACACTTCTCAAGCAACATATGAGCAGGAGAGATCTGAAGTGGACACCTGTGAATCTGAGGGTACATAAACACTGTTGTCTGGAACCTCAGCATCCCAGGAAGGCTTCCTGGAAGAAGTGAGCTTTGCATCTAAAAGGAAAGAAAAAGTGGGCCAAAGGCTACTCTGCCTCATTTAATGGGCACACTGTTCTCAGGAGGAAATAATGTTTCCATTTTACAAATGTTTGGATAGCGTATGAGCATCATACCCGGGATATCCACCACATAATTGAATTTGTGACAAGGGGGCAGAAGGCTCAGCAATGACTAGAATCTCTGCTGCTGTTCACATTTCCTTTATTTTCCAAATCACTCCCTGAGAGGGTATCCACAGAGGATGGAATGTCTGGTGGTTCCCGGTCATTCTTTTTTTTGGGGGGGGCACCCCAAAGGGCAAACAGGTTTATTATAGCTGTGGCCAGGCAATCAGCGGTTGAACCTGGCCACACGTTCCAGCTCATCCTCCTTCTTGATAGTGTAGGAGTTGGAGGAGCCCTTGGCAGCGCTGATGAGCTCGTCTGCCAGGCACTCGGCAATGGTCTTGATGTTCCGGAAGGTGGCCTCACGGGCACCCGTGCACAGCAGCCGGATGGCCTGATTCACACGGCGCAGCGGGGACGCGTCCACGGCCTGCCGCCTCACTGTTCCAGCTCGCCCAGTGCGGGTCGAGTCCTCCCGGGGGCCACTGTTGATGATGGCATTCACCAGGACCTGCAGGGGGTTCTCGCCTGTGAGCAGATGGATGATCTCAAAGGTGTGCTTGACGATGCGCACAGTCATGAGCTTCTTGCCATTGTCGCGGCCATGCATCGTCATGGAGTTGGTGAGACGCTCCACGATGGGGCACTGCGCCTTGTGGAAGCGCTTGGCCGTGTAGCGCCCTGCACTGTGGGGCCGGTATTTGCCATACTTCTCCTTCACTGCGATGTAATCCTGCAGGGAAATGCCATGGATCTGCACATCATCGGTGCTCCACTTCCCAAAGAGCTTGATGTCGGGGGTCTCTGCTACTGCAGGTGAGGCTGTCTCCCACTCCATCATCCTGAAGGCGCAGCCGAGGCGTCTCGGCCGCTCGGCGTGGACCACACGCGCCCTGGCACAGATAGGAAGCGTTCCTGGTCATTCTTGAGTGTTCTGCAAGGGCACCACCATCCTGCTTGCCACCGGGGGCTCTGCTCCTTCTGGAACTTGCCCGAGAGACAAATGGCTTAACCCACAGCCTTCTCCATGTGAGCACAATGGGTGTGAGAGGAACCAACTGGGTGTGGGGCCTGAGGGGAACATCCTGACGGGGGTCTCAGGGCCATCCATACACATCCCTTACAGGAGAAGGAAACGAGGCCCCCCAAACCCACCCAAAGGGCGATTCCAGGGAAGCCCTCTCCCTTCTCTCTCCCCTCCCCTGCAGACCAGTCCCGACATCCTGGCTAAAACCCAGTGCCAAGAGGGGCCCTGCATAGCTGCCAGGTCCACGTACTCCAGTGGAGGATGCACGGATATGTGCTGCTGTCCACGTGTCTGAGTACAAACTGGCTTGTTGTAGTATCTACCCTTAAGTCAAGGACTGTACACACTCACCAGAGTGGGAGGAGGGGTTGCAAGATGGAGGGAAAGGGCGCGGGCAGGGAGAGGGAAGGGCCCCGCCCTGGCGCACCCACACCCATCAGCGTCTCACAATTGGCCCTGCGTGTTACTCCCGAGCGTTCGGGTCCTCCGCACCCATCCTGTAAGCCGGTGGGGCAGGTGCCGGTCACCATACGACAAAGGAGAAAAGCGGGCTCAGAGAAGTCAAGCTCACACGGTAAGTGGCAGGTCTAGAGATCAGGGTCTCAGTTCTCTCCGAGAAAACGCACCTTTGATCCTCCCAAATTCTACCTGGGGGTGGACAGTGGACCGCAGTACCCTCCGTACAGAAAGCTAGTAGAAGGCAACACTTACGGAACACTTTCCACTCGCCAGGCACTCACCAAGCCCTTTACACGAATTAACTCCATCCTCACCGCAACTTTACGAAGTAGGTACGGTTACTAATCCCGCTTCACCCGTAGGGCTACTGAGGCACAGAGAACAAGGGACTCGTCCAGGGTCGCAGAAGTAGACGAGAGAGGGAGGCGTGAGCGGGACTGGGAGGACCAGGGAGGACAGCGGAGGGTCGGGTGGGCTAGGGAGGGCCCGGCCCCGCTGGTTTCCAGCCTCGCGGCGCCGGCCAGGCCCCGGCTGCCCATATAAGGCCGCGGGCGTCCTGTAACGTTTCAGGCGCATTGGGGCGCCCGGCGGACTGCAGCCTCCTCCGCGCCGAGGAATGTGTGGAATCCTCCTTCCTGACTGCCGCGCACCGCAGGGGGACTTCCCCTCCGCACCCGGGCCCCGGATTAGCCCCCGAGCGAGCCCGGAGGCCTCTCACCATTGCCTGGCCGCTGGGGGGAGCGCGGCGGCTCGGCGGAACCGGCCGGGAGGCGGGGAGGCGAGGAGGCGACCGCGCGCCCTCACCTGCCCCGGGCGGCGCGCGCGGGCGCAGAGGAGGCGGCGGGGCGGAGGCCGCCGAGGAGCCGGGGAGGAGCCTGCGCCGGGCGGCGGCGTGGGCGCGAAGTGAAACTCCTGGAAGTTGCGGGAGCGCGGGGAGCCGCGGCGGCGGGCCGCGCGCCCATGGCTTTAAGCAAAGGGCTGCGGCTGCTCGGGCGGCTGGAGGCCTCGGGGGAGAGCAGCATCCTGCTGGAGGCGCGCGGCCGCGGGGACTGCTTGCTCTTCGAGGCCGGCACGGTGGCCACGCTCGGTGAGTGCGGCAGGCGGCGCCGCCCGGGGCTCCGGGCCGGCGACTCCGCAGCGGCGCCGGGGCTCGGGCCGCGCCCTGGTCCCCTGTCCCGGGGAGGATGCCGGGAGGGAAGGTCGCCTGCCTTTGCTGAGACCTAGACAAACGGGCACCTCCCGTCCCCGAGGTGACCAGTCCCGGGCGGCGCGGAGGTGGCCGAGGCGTGGGCGTCGCACGCGCAGGGTGGCGGGTGGCCAGTTTGAATGAAGTGATGCCGGGGACGCCAGAAGACACGTGTGGCTGCTTCCAGGTGCACAGGCGGCCCACAGGGGTCTGCGGTCTGCGCGCCTGCCGGCGGGGTCCGTTCTTACAGAGCCGCCTCTGGTACCTTCTGCCCCGCGTTCCCCTGGGACCCGTTACAGATTCAAGACCATCCAAGAGGGGTGGCTTAGGAGGCGGCCTGACCAAGTGCCTGGCGCTGTTTTTCTTTGGCACCTGTTGATGAAACCAGTGAATGCCCGTTCCCTTGTGATGGCCTCCTTCACTCCTGGTGGGGATGGGGACAAAAGCACCATAACATAGACTCCGGAGAAAGCGCTGATGGCACCTTTGCCTCATGTAAATACTTGGCTGAGAAGCATCAGTACTGCAAAGTATAGAACTTGGAGGCAAAAAACAAAACAAAACAAAACAACAGAATAACCTGGTGACTCTGTGCTGGGTGCATTTGACATCAGGCAGTTGCCAAGTCAATGTATTTCACCTCTGAGCTCCAGGAAGTCTTGGCACTAACATTGTGTCAAGGGCTTTAGAGACCATCTCACTTAATTTTCACAATTCTACAAAAGGACTAGTATTATCCCCATACTACAGAGGAGTAAACTGAGGCCTGAAGAGGCTAAGAAACGTGCTTGCCCAAGGTGACAAACAGCTCTACCTGACTTCCAGTGACTATTTCTGTATTGTTGTACAGTGTGCGGCTTCTTGGACTCACCTTGTTTTGTGGCTAACATTCATGATGAAGGCCAGGTAACAAAGAGAGCGAAACCAGGTAGAATTGTTAGAACTTCAACCTGAACACTAGAGAGAAGGCTTACAACTGGTGTCCAGCATCTCCCCTGTTAGTAGCTGAACAAAGCTCAGAGGAGGATCACCAGTCCTTTAGGTGGATGACCTGTACACTCATGCCCACCACATTTTATAATTGAATCATCTTTTTTTTCAGATTGTATGCATCAATTCTTCAATTAGATTCTTCCGTATACATCTTGGAAGGACCATCTCTTCTATTTCTGCTTCCCTAATAATTTCATTAGCATATAGTTATCTGGCTTGTTTTCAGTCACTTGGTTACTAAAACAACATCTCCAGTATTGTCAGCACCATAAGTGTGCAGTAATCATGGATTAAATTATTATCAGATTATTCCAATTTGTGCTCTGTCCTGAAAAGTCCAAGTTTGGTCATTTGCTAAGGTCTTGAAAGAAAACCACAAAAATCTCCATTCCATTTTAGATGTCTGCTTCATACCACATGTATCAGAGCTGAGAGATGAAATTGCCTGGTACAAAACTACTGCTTCATCAAAGAGATTAAAATATTATTCAGTTGGGGCTTCCCTGGTGGCGCAGTGGTTGAGAGCCCGCCTGCCGATGCAGGGGACGCGGGTTCGTGCCCCGGTCCGGGAGGATCCCACATGCTGCGGAGCGGCTGGGCCCGTGAGCCATGGTCACTGAGCCTGCGCGTCCGGAGCCTGTGCTCCGCAACGGGAGACGCCACAACAGTGAGAGGCCCGCGTACCAAAAAAAAAAAAAAAAAATATATATATATATATATATATATATATATATTATTCAGTTGGATGACAGCAACTTTAAGCAAGGTTCCTATATATTTGAGTTCCTTTCAAGCCACTGGGATAAAAAGATTTTTTCAAAAGTGAAGATTTTAAAATGATTAATGAAAGTAATGCAGTGCATATTTTCTGTTGGAAATTAGGTTTGGGCTGAAATCATGTGTGTTATGTTGGTGATTACAATAGTCTGGATTCTAGAACAGAGGGTGTAATGACAGGAATGGGCCTCAGCTCATGTGCAGTCCACGTTTGTCACTTAACCTAGCATTCATTTTTCAGTAGACTTTGGGCTGAATACTTAACTTGTGAAGTCTTCTTAAGTGAAACTATTTTTATTTATTTATTTTTTAAAACATCTTTATTGGAGTATAATTGCTTTACAGTGGTGTGTTAGTTTCTGCTTTATAACAAAGTGAATCAGCTATACATATACTTATATCCCCATATCTCCTCCCTCTTGCGTCTCCCCCCCAACCTCTCTATCCCACCCCTCTAGGTGGTCACAAAGCACCAAGCTGATCTCCCTGTGCTGTGCGGCTGCTTCCCACTAGCTATCTGTTTCACATTTGGTAATGTATATATGTACATGCCACTCTCTCACTTTGTCCCAGCTTACCCTTCCCCCTCCCCGTGTCCCCAAGTCTGTTCTCTATGTCTGCGTCTTTATTCCTGTCCTGCCCCTAGGTTCTTCAGAACGTTTTTTTTGTTTTGTTTTTTTAGATTCCATGTATATGTGTTAGCATACGGTATTTGTTTTTCTCTTTCTCACTTACTTCACTCTGTATGACAGACTCTAGGTCCATCCACCTCAATACAAATAACTTGATTTCGTTTCTTTTTATGGCTGAATAATATTCCATGTATATATGTGCCGCATCTTCTTTATCCATTCATCTGTCGGTGGACACTTAGGTTGCTTCCATGTCCTGGCTATTGTAAATAGAGCTGCAGTGAACATTGTGGTACATGACTCTTTAAATTATGGTTTTCTCAGGGTATATGCCCATTAGTGGGATTGCTGGGCCGTAGGGTAGTTCTACTTTTAGTTTTGTGAGGAACCTCCATACTGTTCTCCATAGTGGCTGTGTCAGTTTACATTCCCACCAACAGTGAAAGAGGGCTCCCTTGTCTCCACACCCTCTCCAGCATTTATTGTTTGTAGATTTTTTGATGATGGCCATTCTGATTGGTGTGAGGTGATACCTCATTGTAGGTTCGATTTGCATTTCTCTAATGATTAGTGATGTTGAGCATCCTTTCATGTGTTTGTTGGCCATCTGTATATTTTCTTTGGAGAAATGTCTATTTAGGTCTTCTGCCCATTTTTGGATTGGGTTGTTTGGTTTTTTTTTTGATATTGAGCTGCATGAGCTGCTTGTAAATTTTGGAGATTAGTCCTTTGTCAGTTGCTTCATTTGCAAATATTTTCTCCCATTCTGCGTGTTGTCTTTTTGCCTTGTTTATGGTTTCCTTTGCTGTGCAAAAGCTTTTAAGTTTCATTAGGTCCCATTTGTTTATTTTTGTTTTTATTTCCATTTCTCTAGGAGGTGGGTCAAAAAGGATCTTGCTGTGATTTATGTCATACAGTGTTCTGCCTGTGTTTTCCTGTAAGAGTTTTATAGTGTCTGGCCTTACATTTAGGTCTTTAATCCATTTTGAGTTCATTTATGTGTGTGGTGTTAGGGAGTGTTCTAATTTCATTCTTCTACATGTAGCTGTCCAGTTTTACTAGCATCACTTATTGAAGAGGCTGTCTTTTCTCCATTGTATATTCTTGCTTCCTTTATCAAAAATGAGGTGACCGTATGTACATGGGTTTATCTCTGGGCTTTCTATCATGTTCCATTGATCTGTCTTTCTCTTTTTGTGCCAGTACCATACTGTCTTGATTACTGTAGCTTTGTAGTGTAGTCTGAAGTCTAGGAGCCTGATTCCTCCAGCTCTCTTTTTCTTTCTCCAGATTGCTTGGGCTATTCAGGGTCTTTTGTGTTTCCATACAAATTGTGAAAGTTTTTGTTCTGGTTCTATGAAAAATGCCATTGATAGTTTGATAGGGATTACACTGAATCTGTAGATTGTTTTGGGCAGTAGAGTCATTTTCACAATGTTGATTCTTCCAATCCAAGAACATGGTATATCTCTCCATCTATTTGTATCATCTTTAATTTCTTTCATCAGTGTCTTATAGTTTTGTGCATACAGCTCTTTTGTCTCCTTAGGTAGGTTTATTCCTAGGTATTTTAATTTTTTTGTTGCAATGGTAAATGGGAGTGTTTCCTTAATTTCTCTTGCAGATTTTTCATCATTAGTGTATAGGAATGCCAGAGATTTCTGTGCATTAATTTTGTATCCTGCTACTTTACCAAATTCATTGATTAGCTCTAGTAGTTTTCTGGTAGCATCTTTAGGATTCTCTATGTATAGTATCATGTCATCTGCAAACAGTGACAGCTATACTTCTTTTCCGATTTGGATTCCTTTTCTTTCTTTCTTTCTTTTTTTTTTTTTTTGTGGTACGCGGGCCCCTCACTGCTGTGGCCTCTCCCGTCACGGAGCACAGGCTCCGGATGCGCAGGCTCAGTGGCCATGGCTCACAGGCCCAGCCGCTCCACGGCATATGGGATCTTCCCAGACTGGGGCACAAACCCGTGTCCCCTGTATCGGCAGGCAGACTCTCAACCACTGCGCCACCAGGGAAGCCCCCTTTTATTTCTTTTTCTTCTCTGATTGCTGTGGCTAAAACTTCCAAAACTATGTTGAATAATAGTGGTGAGAGTGGACAACCTTGTCTTGTTCCTGATCTTAGAGGAAATGGTTTCAGTTTTTCACCATTGTGAACGATGTTCACTGTGGATTTGTCATATATGGCCTTTATTATGTTAAGGTAAGTTCCCTCTATGCCTACTTTCTGCCAGGTTTTTATCATAAATGGGTGTTGAATTTTGTTGAAAGCTTTTTCTGCCTCTCCTGAGATGATCATATGGTTTTTCTCCTTCAATTTGTGAATATGGTTTATCACATTGATTGATTTGCGTATATTGAAGAATTCTTGCGTTCCTGGGATAAACCCCACTTGATCATGTTGTATGATCCTTTTTTTTTTTTTTTTTTTTTTTGCGGTACGCGGGCCTCTCACTGCTGTGGCCTCTCCCGTTGCGGAGCACAGGCT